TCTTTAGTAGATATTTATCAAAGTTTTTCTTTTGTAACTTTTGCTAATAGATGAAAAAAGCATTGCCACTACATTTACATTGTTTGCTACAGCAGATTTGAGAGCATTTAGACATGCTCATTTGTTTTTACCTGAAACCCACAATTTTAAATTGCTTGACCTTCTGCTAAGTTTCCGGTTATGCACATTTTGTGGTTGCAGCATTATGCACATATAAAGCATTGTAAAATAAAGACACAGTCATAGAGGTTTGATTCACTATTTAGTGTGGTTCATCAGGTTGTTCTCCTCTAAATTTCATATCAAATGTTACAGTAATTGATGATTCAAATCTCCTGTAATCTGAATGAACACTGCCATCTGTTGATGGCATAGTTACAGATGAATCTGCTGACAAAGCTACAGTGTGTTATGAGATATAATATAATATGGAAATAATGCCACCATGTGTCTGCAGTAATTAAGTTGAATCAATCAGCTGTGAGAGAACAATGTAATTATTCATAATACAGCACATTTAGTTGGAGATTTGAAAGGTCCTTTATTGGCATTGATGGTTTCATAAAGAACATTTAACATCTATGAAACATTTCCATATACAGAAGATTCTTTATAGTGGACGTTTCTTTTAACATTATTGCCACTAAGAAGAAATGGTTCTTTTAAGAACTGTTCACTGAAAGGTTCTTTGGGGAAACCAAAAATGCTTTCTTTCTTTCTTTCTTTCTTTCTTTCTTTCTTTCTTTCTTTCTTTCTTTCTTTCTTTCTTTCTTTCTTTCTTTCTTTCTTTCTTTCTTTCTTTCTTTCTTGTCTGTGTATTCTTCATCCTCTCAGGTTATTGTACAGTGTTGAAGGGTTTCTTGTTACTGTGGGCACCAGGGCACAGTAGTATACTGCAGCATCTGACACTTCAGTTTTGGAGATCTCCAGGTTCAGTAGTTTTTTGTCCTTTTGTGCTTCAGCAACATGACGGTCCTTCTTTTCTGGACCCAAATTTTCCAAAGCTTGCAAGAGAAATTCAGGGGCAGTGTTGGGATACTCTCTGTACCACTGCCAACTCTGTATGCTATTTCCACTGTAGTTGCATGAAAGAGTTGCCTTTCCTCCTTCAAAAGCATGGTTTTCAGTAGAGAGGGGTGTTATTGCATTTGCAAAAACACTCTCTGGGAAAATATAAGCAACACAAGATCAATAATAATAGTGCACCTTCAGTAAATGTATCTGTTTGTTAATATTGTTATAGAGGTATATAGTCTCTTAGCAAATATAGATATATTAACTATGTAAATATCAAATTGTACCTGTTAGAAGTGCCAAAATGTTAAGGTAAAACAAAATCATTATGACTGTGGGAGATCATCTGTAAAATGAGATTTGGAGAAACACAGGACTGCCTTCTGCTGTTCTCATTCTCATCAAGCTCCACCCAAAGGATTGTGGGACCCTCTGTTGATTCTTTCAAATAAATAGTGGATACAGATATTTCCCACAATAGAAGTATGAGGAAAGTGTCTGTCATTGTAAAATGTAATTTTAAAAAATCCTATCAATTTTTGAAGTGTATTATGCGTTTTATTTTCTTATATTTACAGTTAATTACAAACAGCTCATTAAAAATAACAAGTAAAGTCATCCACATAATCTTAAATATTTTTAAATAAAATGTTACACCAATTGATGATTCAAATCTTCTGTAATCTGAGTAAACACTGCCATCTGTTGTGCATTTCATGCTATCACTTTACTGACTACTAATTAGTTTGTTTTACTAATTACAGTAGCTATTTAGGGACGAGTAGTCTGACTGATGTATAAGGTATATTTGATTTTAGATACTGTTGATTTTATACAGTTTATGTTTGTGCTAAATAGATGAATCTGCTGACAAAGCTACAGTGTGTTATGAGATATAATATAATATGGAAATAATGCCACCATGTGTCTGCAGTAATTAATTTGAATTAATCCGCTGTGAGAGAACAATGTATTTATTAATAATACAGCATATTTAGTTGGACATTTGAAAGGTTCTTTATTGGCATTAAATGTTCTTTATGGTCGAAAAAGATTATTCTAATATTCTTTTATTTTAAAAATGGTTCTTTTAAGAACTGTTCACTGAGAAGTTCTTTGGGGAATCCAAAAATGGTTCTTTCTTTCTTTCTTTCTTTCTTGTCTGTGTATTCTTCATCCTCTCAGGTTTTTGTACAGTGTCGAAGCGTTTCCTGTTACTGTGGGCACCAGGGCACAGTAGTATACTGCAGCATCTTCCACTTCAGTTTTGGAGATCTCCAGGTTCAGATGTTTTTTGTTCTTTTTAGCTTCAGCAACATGACGGTCCTTCTTTTCTGGACCCAAATTTTCAAAAGCTTGCAAGAGGAATTCAGGGGCAGTGTTGGGATACTCTCTGTACCACTGCCAACTCTGTATGTTACTTCCACTGTAGTTGCATGAAAGAATCACCTTTTCTCCTTCGAAAGCATGATTTTCGGTAGAGAGGGATGTTATTGCATCTGCAAAAACACTCTCTGTGTAAATGTAAACAACAGAAGATCAATAATAATAGTGCGCCTTCAGAAATTATATCTGTTTTTTAATATATTTTTCTAGGGGTGTATAGTCTCCTAGCAAATATAGATATATTAACACATGTAAATATCAAAATTACATACCCATTAGAAGTGCTAAAACATTAAGGTAAACCAAAATCATTATGACTGTGGGAGATCATCGGCAAAATTGAGATTTGGAGAAACACAGGTCTGCCTTCTGCTGTTCTCATTCTCATCAAGCTCCACCCAAAGGATTGTGGGACCCTCTGTTGATTCTTAGAAATTATTAGTGATATTTCCCACAACTGAAATCTGAAGCAATTATCTGTCATTTCTTTATTTCTACTGCAAAAAAAGTATTTTTTTTTAAATATTTGGTTAGAATTTTTAATGTACAGTACATTGAAACCAACACATTAAAATGAGCAAGTAAAGGCATCAACATAATATCCAACTTAAATGTATCATAAGGACATTGGTGAATTGAGGAGAAGTGGGTTGTTACTAGGGCTGTGCGATATTGAAGAAAAATGCGATATGCGATACCTTGTTAAAAAATGCGATATTCAATACGATATTGCTTAAAGTGTGTAAAATCAATTAAAATATTTTAAAATATTTAAAAATTAAAATCATATAACCAATTTGTTTCACATTCTTTCTTGGAAAATAAAGAATCACTATAACTTCTGAAAGTGGCCAGCAGTGTTTTAGCATTACTTAAAAAGTAGTGTCACAAATCAGAAAATGTAATTTAACATCAATGTGAACATACAAAAAAATGAATTACACTAATTTTATATCATTGTAACTTTGCTTTCCATACACTTTAAGTACTTCTTCATATACCACAGCAAAAGCTATAGTCTGAGAAAGTTGAAACATGATTAAAGGCAAGTGAACAGTCAGTAAAAAAAAAAAGAAAGAAAAAGAAAAAAAAAGAAATAGACAATTTATAAGCATAGATAAAATGAACAGTAGTATTCAGGTACAGAAATGTAATAATTAAGTGTAAAATAACACTGCATAGTGTTCACTGTATGAATTAAATTTAGATTAATCTTTGTTATAGCCGTTTTGTTGTTTGATTAACATTAGTGACATATTCAGCAGCAGGTATTTATAGGCTGCTGTCCCTTTAAATCCGACTGCACGGATCCAGTGTAATGATACACATCCGATTTCTTTCTCAGCTGTTTACATTCATTTAAAGCATAACCGACTGTGTTTACGAGAATGATCGTCGAGATGTGTACTATTGACATAATTCTGTGTGTATGTGTCTGTTCAAACATAAGGAGGAGATGCGAAAGACGAATCAACTCGGTCTGAAACGCGTCTCTCTGTGTGTGCGCGTGCTTTGCACGTGTGTGGCAGAACTGAAGAGACGCTGCGTGAGATGCGGCTTGTGCGCACGCTTCAGGTGTGAGTCAGACAGCAAGACGAGACGGCAAAGAGTTGTTTTCTGCAACTTATTGCACTTAACTCTTTTTAACGTAACGTGTTTTTAACCTTTTGCAACATTTTGATTTAAGTAGCCTATTATTAAAATGATAATGATATTGCACGTGTAACGGAGGCCAGCGAGTAAGTGCTGTGCAGGTAAACCTCACTCCCCTGATCTCACTAGCGACTGACGCTAGAGGCTGCAGTCTTTAGCATCCTTGTTAGTGCGTCCGCCTCCCATGCCGGCGACCCACTCGGAACAAGAACGAGGTGTGGCGGTGAGGACCCGGGAGAGAGGGGTTACATTGGTGCCGTGACCTGGATGGGAGTGAGGTTTAGGGGGGTGAGTGTAACGGAGGCCAGCGGGTAAGTGCTGTGCAGGTAAACCTCACTCCCCTGATCTCACTAGCGACTGACGCTAGAGGCTGCAGTCTTTAGCCTCCTTGTTAGTGCGTCCGCCTCCCGGAACAAGAACGAGGTGTGGCGGTGAGGACCCGGGAGAGAGGGGTTACATTGGTGCCATGACCCAGATGGGAGTGAGGTTTAGGGGGGTGAGTGTAACGGAGGCCAGCCAACCTCACTTCCCTGATCTCAAGAGATGCAGTAGCGACTGACACTAGAGGCTGCAGTCTTTAGTCTCCTTGTTAGTGCGTCCGCCTCCCATGCCGGAGACCCGGGTTCGAGACCCACTTGGAACAAGAATGAGGTGTGGCGGTGAGAACCACCACACAGCGGGTTACACACGCTGTTGCCGATATGCATATTGTGTTATTTACATTTCGATAATTTCGATGTATCGTGCAGCCCTAGTTGTTACCTGATTAGGTTTTGAAAAAAAAAGTTGTTTATGATTTATCAACAATTTTAATTGTTACAGTATTGGGACAAAGTCCAAATCATGTCATGTATGCTTTTGAAATCAACAAAATAGAATTTTTTTTTTTTAACTGTGACGTGAAAGGCCTTAAATCTGAAATATAGTATGTTTTTGTATAGGAACTCTTAGTTTCCTGTGATTGTGGGCTGCAGTGCACAGTAGTACACCGCTGAATCTGTCAAAAAAACTTTGGAGATCTGTAGATCCACTTGTTGGAGGTCTTGATCAAATTTGCCAGAAAATCTTGATATGGTTATTGGTAAGTCTGGACCTTTGTGCGAATAGCTGTAGGTACGGAAGTCTGGTTTTGATCTTGGATATTGTCTATACCACTGCGCATTCAGCACTCTTCCAGTGAATCCTTTGTAACTACAGGATATGGTTACATTTTCACCTACAACAGTGCTCATAAATGGTGATAGTGGGAAGATTGCATTTGCCTCTGTGTCACCTAACAAAATAAAAATAATAATAATAAATAAATAACTTGGTTATGAAACAACAGAAGTAATTAAAAATACATTTAAAAAATATATTCCATTCAGCATAAATTATATAAATTTAAAGCAAAGTAAACATGTATGTGCATAAATCAATCTCACCCAGATGAATCCATAAACTAATAAGTGTGAAGATAAACATAATGATTGATATATTGGATGCCAAAATCAAGAAGTTTGTTTCATCATACAGGCACACCTCCACTTTTGTGAGATCCCAGAGACACAAAACTCCACCCTCAGAGTCAAATGAATGTCTCTGCAGTGTTTTTTGTCTCCTTGTAGTCTTTCACTGCAGTACAGCACATCTTTATCAACATGATTTGCTTTTGTAGCTTTAGCTAATAACCTGCTTTTCGGTTACTAAATCATGCTTTTCAGAGGGATTTTATTGCATTTGCAAAACACTCGCTAGGAAAATATCAACAGCAGCATTTTATATGTTCATTAATATGCATCTTTTATAGGACTATATAGATATGATAGATATATTAACATATGCGAATATCAAATTTATATAACTGTAAGAATTGCCAAATCAGTAAGGCAAAGCTGATTCATTACTAAATTGAGGAGAAGTGTGTTGCTGCACTATTGATCTTTATCAATGCATTTTTTCTTCTGTAGAATTGAAAGAGTCTGTACTTCTACTAGACACATTTGTTTTAGCTGAAATTACTTAAGCGCAATTTAAAACTGCTTGAACTTTGCTGAGTTTTTCGTTTAGTTGTTTTCCCCATTTTGTACAGTGTTGATGCGTTTCCTGTCACTGTGGGCTGCAGGGCACAGTAGTACAGTGCAGAGTCTGATACTGAAGCAGAGGAGATCTTCAGAGCCACACGGTTTTTCTCCTCATTTATTTTAGCAGACACTCCAGGTATTGGAGGGTCAGCTGGCTGCTCAAGTTTGGATTCACTAACCAGAAACAAAAACTGAGGTTTGGAGCTGCTGTATTGACGATACCACAGGACAGAATCACTGCTGTACGACCCATTGTAATTGCAGGTCAAAGTAATGGAGTCACCATCGTTAGCAAGTTCAGATGAGAAGAGAGGGGCTATTCCTTCTCCACCTGCATCACCTGAAAAAAGCAGAGCATTGCAGTTTAATACTCATTCATCACACGTTATTAATGTCTGATGACTTTTTTGAATGGTTACTCAAAGGATTCCATATGCAAGTCACATATCTTACCTGAAAAGAGAAGAATGAACCAGACGCTGCATAGAAACATAATGGATCGTCACAAGCAGCTCAAACTCTATAACTCACAGCCTCTGACTGATTTTGTGCACATTTCCTTTTTTGAACTGTTACAGTACACCAACTGAAGATTCAAATCTTCTGTAATCTGAGTGAACACTGCCATCTTCTGTACATTTTTTGCTATTGCTTTAATAATTAGTTACTGATTGCAGTAGTTATTAGGGACAAGTAGTTAGTATACAAGTAGAGAGTATATTTGGCAGTATATTTGATTTTATTTGATTTTAGTTTCTGTTGATTTTATACCAGTCATTTGAGTTTACAGAAAATTGAAAGAAAATTGCTACAAAGAATATTGCACCTGAAAGAACCATTTACCGGATCATCAAGAATGTCAAGGAGAGAGGTTCGACTGCAGTGAAGAAGTCTTCAGGACGTCCCAGAGCATCCAGCAAGCGCCAGGACGGTCTCCTCCTGAGGAGTCAGCTACGGAATCGTGTCACCAGCAGTGCAGAGCTTACTCAGGAAAGGCAGCAGGTTGGTGTGAGAGCATCTGCACGCACAGTGAGGCCAAGACTTTTGGACAATGGCCTGGTGTCAAGAAGGGCAGCAAAGAAGCCACTTCTCTTCAAGAAAAACTTCAAGGACAGACTAAAATTCTGCAGGAAGTACAAGGATTGGACAGCAGAAGACTGGTGCGAAGTTATTTTCTCTGATGAAGCTCCCTTCCGACTGTTTGGGACATCTGGAAAATTGATTGAGAGAAGAAAAGGTGAACACTACCATGTGAGTCCTGTGTTGTGCCATCAGTGAATCATCCTGAGACCATCCATGTGTGGGGTTGCTTTTCAAACAAGGGAGTGGGCTCTCTCATAATTCTGCCCCAAAACACTGCCATGAATAAAGAATGGTATCAAAACGTCCTGCAAGAGAAGAGTGATAAAGAAGTGGCTCGAAGATCGTGGCCAGGCAACTCCCCGGATCTCAGTCCCATAGAGCAGGGGTTTTCAACCTGTGGGGCGCGCCCCACCAGGGGGGCGCCAGCACCTGTTAAGGCGGGCGCGAGAACCTGAGACGTAAACACTCGAGTAATTATGAGGACGAGCTATCAATTTTTTAGGCATCCACTAGGGGGCAATTTGATTAGTCCCACACCTAATTATCAGGCAGCTGTTAGAGCAGAGTTGGTGCGATCGAGTTCAAGAAAAGGTAAGTAACATAAAAAATAAAATGGACCAGTGGCTTTTTAAGATTAATACCAGTGAAAGTAAAACGGGTGAACCGTCTGACAAAAAAGAAGAGGAGTGGCTGTCTGAAGCATTACGACTTCAAACTGATGACGAACCCTCCACATCAATGGGGATTTCCATACAGAGAGGATTAATTGCAAAAACCAAAGGCCTGTGTGCATCAAAACGACGGAAGTATGACGATATGACGAACAAATACGGATTCACGTGCATCACAATTAATAAAGAACCACGTCCACAGTGTGTTGTATGATCAGAGCAGAAGAGCAGAGAAACGACAGTTTGAAACCTGTGAAACTGATACGTCACTTACAAACCGAACATCTGATGTTAAAAGATTTTTTCGCCGTAAAGAATCGGCATTAACAGGTCAAAAACAAACTATGACCAGCCAAACCACTCTGCCAGTAAATGCGCTTACTGCTTCATATGAGGTGGCGCATTTAGTTGTCAAGGCCAAAAAGCCTCATAGAATTGCAGAGAGCCTCATTCGTCCAGCAGCAATGGCCATCTGTAGAACTATGTTTAGACTAAAGACTAAAGTGAAGTGACATGTGGCCAAGTATGGTGACCCATACTCGGAATTAGTGCTCTGCATTTACCCATCCAAAGTGCACACACACAGCAGTGAACACACACAAACCGTGAACACACACCCGGAGCAGTGGGCAGCCATTT